CTGTTTGATTAATTCCTCTTTAGTAACTAATCAGCTAGCGGAAAATTTCAAGATAAACAAGATCACCAACATATTAAGTACGTTTCAGTTTCATGCCTGCATGCTTTTCATTAAGTGTTGAAAAATATACGTCAATCATTTTATTTTTTAATAATAATAATAATAATAATAGAAGATAATGCCTCTGCACTTATTGAACTTGTATTAAAATGCATTTCAAGCAAGTAAAGTCAATCGAATTATGCGTGGCTTGGTTTAATTTTTGGCAATCTGAGCTTATTGTTTATTACAACTTAAAGAATCTAATTCTTACTGTGGGCTCCATACTTGCGGCCTTGTGTCAATCTTAGTAAATAATAGCAGAAAATTCTGGAAAACAGCATCATCACTTACCATTCAGAAGAGATGCAAGAAAAATCCAAGTAATATTCCTGAATTATTGCAGTTTCGAGAAACTAATCATAACGAATTTTTTTTTCTTGTTCTTTTTCTTGAATTAGGATCGATTTTTTGTCTTATTATTGCAATTGCAATTGTTAATGCCACTTGCCATTTTGGTTGGCACCACGTTTGTTTTAACCTCATATGACTATGTATAACATTTCTTACTTCTGCAGGAACATCAATGACGTCAAGAGGTGTATCCATTTCGAAAAGAAAAGAGCATGTGAGAGAGAGAGAGAGAACAGAGAGGATGAATATTTTGTGTGAGAGAAGGTGAGTGTCCGTGGGTGTGTATGAGAGAGTGAGTGTGCGTCGATGATTGTGCATAAAAGAAAGTGCATACGAGAAAGAGAGGGAAAGAGAGAGGGAGAGGGGTAGACAGAAAAACAGAGAAATGGAGGGAGAGAGAGAAAGAGAAGAAAGGGGTGTGCAGTAGAGTATGTGAGAATGAGAAAGAAAGGCAAAGATTTAGACAGAAAGATTGAGAGAGGGGGTTTCTGAGCATATGTTAGAGATGAAAACCGACAGAAAGAACTAGAATGAAAGAGAAAGAACTGGAAAGAGAGAGAGAGAGAGAGAGAGAGTGGATGCGCCTCTGTGTATGAATGAGTGTTTTAGAAAGCGAGTTAGACAACGGTGATATAAGCAATGGGAGTAGAGGGGGGGGGGTAATAAACATTTTTAAATGATAATAATAATGGTTGTCTTATCAGATTTCAAAAAACGAGTTCCTGTACAAAAATTGGTTTTGGTCAGAGCTTCCCGGACTTTTGTGTCGTGGTATTTTAGTGAAATTTAAGTATAAAACTGTTTTTTTTTCACTGAATTATTTTTATAATTATTTGATCCCAAGTAAGGCAATAAAACCATTAAGATATAAGTGATTTCTGAGTCTTACAGAATATGAGAAAAAATCACAATTAAGGAGAGAGGACAATAAAAGAACAAGAATTAAGAAGACAGAAGATACCGATTGACATTACATTTAAATTTTTGAAGATCAAAGGCAATAAAGCCACTAGGACGCAAGAGGTTATTGAGCGTTAGAAAATATGAGAAAAACTACTAAGGAGAGAGGACATTAAAGAACAAGAATTAAAAATACAGAAGATAGCGATTGACATTGCATTTAAATTTTTGAAGATCAAACGCAATAAGGCCACTATGACACAAAGGGGGTTACTGAGTGTTAGAGAATATGAGAAAAACTACTATTAAGGAGAGAGGACAGTAAAAAAAACAAGAATTAAGAAGACAGAAGATAACAATTGACATTGCATTTAATTTGTTGATGATCAAAGGCAATAAAGCCACTAGGACGCAATGGGGGTTACTGAGTGTTAGAGAATATGACAAAAACTGCTATTAAGAAGAAGGGACAATAAAAGATCTGGAATTAAGGAGACTGAAGATAATGATTGTCATTGCATTTAAATTTTGGAACATGAAGTTTGACTGGGAATCAAGAAGCCGGAAGAGAGTTACACAAACGAGAAGTGCAATAGAAGAAACTGTTAGCATAGAACGTACGGTTACATCTAGCCATTTAAACTGTAAATTGAGGAGATCTTGCGGCCAATTTAGTACTGCGCTTAAATTCATAATGTCTAGGTACCATAGAAGAAAGTTCGTCAGAACAATTACCATAAAAGTATTTATAGAAAAAGCACAGGAAAGCTACGTTATGGAGGTGGGAAAAAGACTTACGCTGATATGCCAGGTCAGGACCAATATCATTGCAGATTCTTTTTGTAAGGGTTTTAAATTATATATTTGGCTTTGCAAACAAAATTTAATATGTCACCATTAGTTTTATGCTACCAATGTAAAATATTTAAAAAGCTGTGGTTGCAACATCAAATAGAAATGAAATAAGGTGCAATGACATGAATATTGTTCACAGGTGATCGATTTCTACTGAAGTGCATACATGTACCATATGTTGGGTTAACTTTCTCTCTTCTTAGTGTTATGCACCACGCTTGGCTGTTCATATGAACCCTAATGACTAAGCAGTCTAAAAGAGGACATTTTTCGAGGAGATGCCTCTAAGATCAGATGTTTTCCTGACGTGTGTGTAAAAGTAGTCTCAATATGACGTATCGATCTTAGGAGTAAAAGAAACTTATGTAATATCCGCTAGTTTTCCATTTCAGGATTGAGGAGAAGGCATGGAACATATTTCCGCAAATTTTTAGCATGTTCTCTAGAAAAAAAAACATCATTTATATTATTCCAACTTCCTTATAGCTGTTACTCTTTTATGACAATGTTTTAGTAAACATCAGCACTGATGGCAGATATTACTAAAGCCCCACATATATTTATTAAACGCAGTACATAGTTGAAGTAGTTTATAGACTCTCTGTATCATTTAAAACTGTCTGGTGAAATGTGCTACGAATGCCAGCGGTCGGAAGTTCAACAGCCAACCTGACTTGTTGGAGTTAAGCACGAGGCCATGATCAACAGAGGAAGCAGAAGGCAGACGAAAAGATGCCTGTTTGATCGTTGACATTTCCCAATTCAACTCCGAAGGCGAATTAAGAATTGAAAGTCGATGAAGCTGGCCGCCTGGTGTGCGTTTCTAGGCGGAGAACAGCGAATCTCTCTTTGACGTCTCTACCGGAGGAAATAGACGACGAATGAGCAGAGAAGAAAAAAAACAGACTGATATGATTTGGGAAATATTTTGCTGGTGTCCGATAACAAACATGGCCGATGGAAATGTATCGTACCCCAACTACGAATCAAATGAAACGCCCCCCCCTACTCTACTAAATCTCAATTTTCATAAGGTTATATTCATATAAAATACAAATTTTATTGTAACATAATTATATACAATAATGACTCATATGCAATATAGGTGAATAATTCAACTAGAAAAATTGAAAATAAATACAATGTATCTAAATACAAATTAGAGACATGTCATAATAGATCATTCCATTTTAAATTAATCAACAATGGTTTTACATATTGTACAGACGAGGATATAACTTTTGCTTCCTATTTTAGAAAGTACGAGGAATTAGATGCCACAGATTGTTCGAACTGGGCAGACTACTACTTCAAAAACTACGAACCATGGAGAACTCCAAATTTGTGGCCTATATTTTACCCCGTAAAACAAGCGAAATTTACATTTACCGAAGAGGTTAAACTTCTTACAGGTCTTTTTAGTCATAAAACTTCATTTTTTCATAAGTGATGGAAGTGCATGAATTTAACCAGAAAGGATAGTGAAGATTACACTATATTCGCGTCGGTCGTGAACAAGCATTGCGACGATTTTAAACTGTCAGAATTGAGTTCAAATAATTTCAAGTGCCTGATATTTGTTCAGGGACTCGTTTCGTCTAAAGACGCTGAAATTAGACGTAGAGTTCTGAACAAATTGGAAAACGAGCCAAACCTTACTCTCCAACAAATAGCGGAAGACTGTTAGAGATTCGTAAGCTTACGCCAAGATTCGAAAAACATCGAGGTATCTGGAACAGCACACATAAAAAGGTTACGCCAAAATAAAAAATAAAAAACAAAATAAAAAAAAACAATATAAATCTCCCTCTAAAACAAATCAGTCGAAAAAGAAACAAAACAACTTGCCTCTTAACCCGTGTTCCGGTTGTGGGTCACTACGTTGGTATAAGGATAACCCTTACCGGAAGAAGTGCCTAACTTGTAACCGTATCGAACACAGGAGCTCAAACTGCAGAGTGAGAAAAAAGATTAATAGCTGCGTAAAAAACACAAAATCGGATGAACAAGATGGTTTAAACATTAGGAAATACGTGCAAGTGCAAATCATAAATAAAAAATATCAAATTACAATTGGATTCTGGGTCAGATTTGACAATCATAAATCTATACACTCGGAAAAAGTTGGGAAAATCAACCATGTTAAGATCGAATAAAATGGCGAGGTCCGTCACAGGAAAAGAAATCAAGTTTGAGGGAGAACTTATCATAAATGTAACTTTTCATGGAAAGACATTAAAATTAAAAACGTACATACAGAAAATTTGTCAACGACTGGATGGAGAAATTTAAGTTGTGGGACATGCCAATTATTTCATTTTGCCAAAAACTTGAAAACCTGACCTCCGAGGCAAAAAAATTGATAAAAGATTTAAAAGAAACTTTTCCAGGATTTTTTTCTTGGGAGCTTGGTCGTTGTAATAAGATGATGTCAAAATTCTCGTTAAAAGATGATATCCAGCCAGTGTTTAAGAAAAAAATGTAAATGTGCGTTTTGCATCTTTACCACAAATAAATGAAGAACTTGACAGACTAGAAAGAACCGGGGTCTTGTCGAAAATAGAGTACAGTCAATGGGCTCCACCGACCGTCTATGTGAAAAAGAAGTCAAAGGAGATCAGGGTTTGCGCCGATTTCTCGACTGGCTTAATGTTGAAGAAGAAGAAAAGATGAAGAAGAAGAAGAAAAGAGAAAGAAGAAGAAAAGATGAAGAAGAAGAAGAAAAGAGAAAGAAGAAGAAAAGATGAAGAAGAAAAGATGCAGATTAAGAAGAAAAGAAGAAAAGATGAAGATTAAGAAGAAAAGAAGAAAAGGTGAAGATTAAGAACAAAAGAGGAAGAAGAAGAAAAGATGAAGAAGAAGAAGAAAAGATGAAGAAGAAAAGATGAAGAAGAAAAGAAGGAGATGAAGAAAAGATGATGAAAAGATGAAGAAGAAAAGATGAAGAAGAAGAAAAGATGAAGAAAAGATGAAGAAGAAGAAGAAGAAAAGATGAAGAAGAATAATACAGGTGTCGCCCTGATTAAGCAGACTCCCTTCTGCGCTGCTGCCCACCTAGGAATTCTGAACTGAAAGTCGAACAAAAATGGTACCACTACAAACCAAAAGTGATCGAAAACGAACAAGATCTTGTGGGATTTCTACATCCAAAGGGACCGCGTCCTTGAGGCCATTAAACCTGGCAACACCGTCGTTAAGAAAAAGAAAATAGATCCTTATCGATGTGTCTGTTTCTGGTGATCGTAATACCAAACATCATTGAAATTGAAAAGCTTAGAGAGTATACCGACTTTTGGATTATATTTGTCCGAATCTGAGACGTTCAGGTTTCACTATTGCCCAACTTACCTTTGGGATTTTGGGGTCTAACCCACCAAACATTATGACCTAAATTAAGAAAATCGGAATGAAGCATAACATCGAATCGTTTCAGAAGTCTGTGTTGCTTGGCACTGCAAATATTCCGTGAAAAAGTGATGTCTGTTTGAGGTCGCACGATTTGATAGACAATCGCCGGAATGCAAAATCCCCGGTTAAAAAAGAAAAACCGCGCGGAAGAAGCGATAGTAATAATAATTAGCGTGACTATTTTTCATTCGCATAATTAACAGTGAGTCACGATTATCCATTGAATCCAAATTGTCGATGTTATTTATTTCCCTTGGGTGATAATTTCTGAAAGATTCTTTTTAAAATAATCCCAAAATTAAATATAATTTTCCAGGTTTGAGAGGAAATTCTAGAAACCCTCTTTTCACAGGAAATCATTCATGCTCTTTCATATCATTCCAGTTTAGATGTGACAAAACAAATAATTATGTCGTTAAAAAGAAGAAAAAACGCTTCCTTATCGAAAATTAAAGATGAATAATTTTCAAAACTTTGAATATTATTGGAGAGTTTTTTCTTACAAAAGTTACAAAATTGTAAACGAATCGTAGCTACTGGCGACAACTTTGGATTTCGAAATGTAGTGTGATACAATTTTATTTAGAATTTTGACATAATTGAACGAATCTACATTAATTACATTATTCGAACTGTTATCCCTATCTTCATTGCCATATTCACAACGTTTCAGCCGTTGTACGCTCCGGCCTTCTTCGGGTAATTGGAATTTCGAAATATTTCTTTATTTCGTCCACCGGAGTAGATTTTTCTAGTTCCACGTGCCATGCCTCTTCCTGATGCCTCAGTTATTTCCCTTTAACTCAACTCTCTAAGTTTTCTGGTTCAAAACTGTTGTGGTAGGATCCACCTAATTTGCATAGTGGAGTACCGACCATATAAATATGGTTGGTACCGGGAAGAGAGGGAGGAATCAAGAGATTCAACCAGAGACTCTACCCGACTGCGACTCAGTCAACACATTCTCCAGGAACGGTCTTACCATGAATATAAAAAGACTATATGTAAATATTGTGTACCCTTTCTTGTTTCAATACATTTTGTTCTAAGTGCATTTTGTGTTGCATTATTATTCCATGCATTAGTCAAGTTTCAACAATGGCGACGAGGTAGAAATAACTATACGAAAAAAAAAAGAATTGATAATTGATAGCCTTCAACAATTGGGACAAGTCATTGAAGAACCCAGGCTGAAGGAAAAAATTAATTAAATTCCAACATCTAATGGAACGGCGAAGGATTCTGAATTTCTGGATATTTAGAACTCGTTAAAGGACGACTACAAAAACATGCATGGATTTAAAAGGCGCACAAATACATCGTGTCGACTTTGAAAGGTAACGAACTTTTAAAAAAAAAAAAAATTTTTTTTTGGTTGCTCAACAATATTTTACAAAGCAAGACATAAAATAAAAAAGTCGTAAGTTGTTTCGATTTTTCTGGTCAGATTATATTATATCCGTGGATACACAAATTAAAAGTACATTCTTTGTTGCATGAACACTATCAGCAAAAGATGGATATGAAAATATTCTCTACACAGACTGTGAAAACTGGTCGAATTCAAGAAAAGTCAGTCTATTACTAAGAAAGCTAGGTACAGCAGAACATAGCAAATTTGTAGATTTTATTCTACCGAGAAGAACGAATGAATTGGAATTCTCGGAAACAGTGAAATTGCTAAAGGAGTTGTTTGGAGCAAATATGTTGCTTTGGCATAAGCGATAGTTATGCATGAATGTCGCTAAATACGACGATCAGGTTTACTTAACATATGCATCTATAGTGAATAGACATTGTGACATTTTCAGATTGGCAGAGATTACGGTTGAAGAATTCAAGTGTTTAATTTTTGCTCAAGGACTGGTATCCAGTAAGAGTGCCAAAATAAGACGTAGAGTTTTGGCTAAACTCGAATCTGAACAAAACCTTACCCTACAAAAGTTAGCAGAGGAGTGTCAGCGGGCCGTAAATTTAAAGAAAGAGTCTCAAAAAATCGAAGAAGCTGGCATTGCTTATATTAAAAAAATAAAAAAAACAGTCACATTACCCATCAGCAAAAAATTGGAGTAAAAATTTGGCGTATTTTAAAAATAGACAAGAAAAATTAAATGAAAAGAACGAGGAGGAAAAAAAGGTTCCACCATATAATTGTAGACGTTGCAACGAAAGACACTGGGAGGTAAATTGCCCATATAGAAATAAGAAATGTTTCGTGTGCCACAAGAATGGACACAAAGGATCGTGTTGTAAAACGAAAAAAGTCAATAGCCGAATTAGGCAAACAAATTCAAATATAAAATCAGATAGAGATTTGAGGAAATATGTGACGACTGAAATATTTAAAAAGAATTTCAACTCGATTCGGGTTCAGATTTAACAATAATGAACTATAAAACATGGAAAATTTTAAAAAGGCCTACAATAACGAAGTCAACGAAATGCGCTCGAACGGTAACTAGAAAGGAAATTAACTTCGAAGGCGAGGTTGTACTTCCCATGAAATTGAACGGGATAGTTAAAAATGGAGAAAACTTGATGAGTACAGATTTTATTGAAACATTCGAATTGTGGGATAAACCGTTAAACTCATTCTGCAGAAAAGTAGAAAGTAATACGCAAACAAAACAGGACATTAAAGATGAATTAAAGAAAAAGTTTCCGGAAACCTTCACACCTGGTCTTGGAAGATGTAACAAGTTTGAAGCTAAATTTGAATTAAAGGAAAATACTATGCCAATTTTAAAAAGAAACGTAACGTGCCTTTCGCAAGTGTAGAGAAAATTAACGAAGAACTTGATAGGTTGGAAAAATGGGAATTATTTCGAAAGTAGAATCTAATTTATGGGCTGCGCCGATTGTGCGCATAAAAAAGAAATCAAACCAAGTCAAAGTCTGCGTTGATTTTTCGACAGGGTTGAACTCGGTAATTAAGGACTACCATTACCCGTTACCGAGTCCGGAGGAGATTTTTAACAAGCTAAATGGTGGAGTTATATTTTCAAAAATCGACTTATCAGATGCCTATCTCCAAATTCCCGTCGAAGAGGAATGTTCAAAGTTACTAGGGATAAACACGCATAGAGGGTTATTCAAGTACAACAGGCTTCCTTTTGGTATTCAAGTGGCACCAGCCATTTTTCAACAAGCTATGGACGTCATGTTGAATGATTTAGACTTTGCGTGCGCCTACTTAGACGACATCATAGTAAGGAGCGAAACCGTCGACGAACATCGAGAGCATCTCAATCAAGTATTTAAAAAGATTCAGGACTTTGGTTTTAAATTCAAAGTGTCAAAGTGCGAATTTGGTTTGGAGGAAATTAAGTATTTAGGTCACATAATCAACACAAAGGGCAGATTTCCAGATCCGGAAAGGTCCATTGCGATTAGAGACATGCCGACGCCCACTAATGTGGCGATGCTACAGAGTTTTCTGGGGCTCGCAAATTATTATCAAGCGTTCATTAAAGGAATGTACAATCTAAGAGCTCCGTTGAATGAACTGCTAAAATAAGACAAGGCATGGGAATGGACGGTAGAATGTCAGAAAGCCTTTGATGAAATAAAGAGAATGCTTACGTCCGACCTCTTTTAACCCATTACAATCCAAAACTGGATATTGTAGTGGCAATTGACGCCAGTTCATACGGGATAGGAGCGTGTATTCAACACATAATGCCAGATGGTTCTATAAAACCAATTGCACATGCTTCGAGAACATTACTCCCAGGAGAAAGAAGTTACTCACAAATCGAAAAAGAGGCGTTGAGTATCATTTTTGCTATAACAAAATTTCACAGATACATCCACGGCAGACATTTTATGCTTGAAACGGATCATAAACCACTGATCACTATTTTTGGTTCAAAGAAAGGGTTACCCGTTTATACGACAAATCGTCTGTTGAGATGGGGAACCATTCTTCTAAATTATGATTTTCACATAAAGCACCTATCATCCAAAAATATAATTCATGCGGATAGTTTATCAAGACTCGTGCCGAGTCAAAAAGAAAGATTCGAAGAATCAATTATTGCAAATATCGGAGCAGATTATGAGGTGAAAAGCATGGTAAACAACATTGTAAGAGAGCTACCGGTTACACTAAAGGAAATAAAAAAAAAGCTGAAAGCGATGATTTCATTTTAGAAATAAAAAGCAAAATGGTAGCAAATGACCAAAAAGTGCAGGAGATTTATTCAATAGGTGAAGGAGTTTTATTATATGGTGAGAGAGTAGTAGTACCAAAGAAGTTGCAGAAAAGAATACTACGGGACTTTCATATGGGTCATCCGGGGGTTAATAGAACAGAAAGCTTAATGCGAAGCTTTGTATATTGGAAAGGAATGGATGTGGATATCGCAAACATGGTTCATCGATGTAAAGGGTGTGCGTTAGCAGCTAAGGCACCACCTATAGTACACAAACCATGGCCCAAGACGGATCATCCGTGGACAAGATTACACATTGATTTCGCTGGTCCAGTAGAAGATTATTACTACTTAATAGTGGTAGATAGTTTTACAAAATGGCCGGAAGTACTACGCTGCAAAAAGCCTACGTCTAATACCACAACAACTTTCTTGCATGAACTATTTGCACGGTTCGATGTGCCAGAGTGTATTGTGAGTGACAATGGTACACAATTCACTTCTGAAAAATTTAAGGAATTTTCTGAGTTATATCAAATTAACCACATAACGACGCCGCCGTATCATCCGAGGTGCAATGGACTCGCAGAAAGATTTGTCGATGATTTAAAGCGCGCTCTGAAGAAATCCTCAGGAGTTCCAACGGAAAAGGCACTTCAGCAATTCCTACAAGTATACAGAATCACGCCAAAACCAGAGAACACACTCAAACATGGCACCAGCTGAACTAATGTTAGCTAGGAAAGTTAAGTCAGTGTTTGACAAACTTTTGCTAGGAAAAAATAGAGTAAAGAATACTATGTATACAGCGAGAAAAAGATACACCTCCGGAGAGAAGGTGTTTTTCAAGTGCTACAAAAACAACGTTGAGTTCTGGGAGCGAGGCATAGTGGACAAGAGAATCGGTGACCTGATTTACGTAATTAAAGGGCCGAAGAATACTCATAAAAGGCACCAGAATCAACTTAAAAAAATGTTACGTTATAGAGCATGAAGAGGTTATACCGGATGAGGAGGAAGATCCCATTGAGGTAATGTATGATATGTTTCAAGTAGAATCTCCGCAGAATACTCCCGAACCGAGACGATCCGGTAGGAAACGAAAGTTCACGGACCCATTGGACGTGAATCCAAAACGGAAAAATATTAAAATTAAGCGGATGGACATATGCATATGAAGTATGCAAATGGATCTACAAAGAAATAGCCATAATCATCAACCCATATAGGAAGCCAGTTTGAAATCCAAAAGGGATTCCAAGGCTTTGGAGAGGGGTGTTGTGGTAGGATCCACCTAATTTGCATAGTGAAGTACCGACCATATAAATATGGTTGGTACCGGGAAGAGAAGGAGGAATCAAGAGATTCAACCAGAGACTCTACCCGACTGCGACTCAGTCAACACATTCTCCGGGAACGGTCTTACCAGGAATATACAAAAGACTATATGTAAATATTGTGTACCCTTTCTTGTTTCAATACATTTTGTTCTAAGTACATTTTGTGTTGCATTATTATTCCATGCATTAGTCAAGTTTCAACAAAAACTGTTGTAGTCTGAGACTGAACTCACAATTCTTTGGGTCTAGTAACTGGATCTAACCAACGCTTTTATCCAGTATAAATATGGCAATGAATGAGGATAACAGTCCGAATAATGTAAATAATGTAAATAATCATAATACCTCATCTCAGAGATCCAAACACCTGAAGAAGTCCGGAGCGTACAACGACTGAAATGTTGTGAAAATGGCAATGAAGATGATGATTACAGTCCGAATAATGTAAATAATGCCTCATCTCAGAGATATAGACAGATATAGAAAGAATCTGTTTAAATGTTGATGAAGAGCGATAAAATGAGATAACAAGAAAGAAAAGAAAGAGAAAATGAGTGAGAAATTAGAAAGGAAAGAGTTAGTATGAAGAGAGAAAAGAGAGAGTATGTGGTGAAATAGGAGAGGGGGAAGAGAGAAATAGAGAACAAAAGAGACAGAATCGTAAAGTAAAGAGAGAGAGAGATGATGTTTTTACTATTTTTCATTCAATACAAGACCCAAGAGCTCCTCAAGGTAGCAGACAGCTGAATGGGAGTATCGTAAGTTTGTATAAGGAGGAATCAATGATCTCTATATTAGGAGGATATATAAGACAGATAACGGCCGATCCACGTATGGAAGATGTTAAGATTATAATGATTCCCTCGGAGTTTGTTCCATATTACTCTTCTGAGGAAGAAACTGCCTGAGTGGAACTTACTCCTTACTAATGGAATATGAAGAGAATGAGAGTGATTCTGTATGGCATAGGAGTGCTAGCCGTTAATGATTGGACAGGTGGGGTCAGGGAACCTCTGAAAATAAAGGCTACGAACGTGGGAAAACGGTTGAAGGGTGGAAAACAATTCATCACTCACAAGTCCGCGCAAACGATTTTAAACTCGATTGAAACTGAAACTAGAGGATTGCGTAGGTCTGTTCCAGATGTTATAGCAATATTCCATTTTGGTCTGATATGACTCGTGTAGAGATAGAGCAGAGGAAGAGGGGCCAGGTACGTCCTGGAGAGTCGACCATTTTTGCAAGAGAAAGCGAAGAGCAAGATTGTGAGTCTGCGAGAAGAGAAAAAAAAGACGGTGAGATAGAAAAGAGGATGAAAGTGACAGAAAAAAGAGAGACATTGAGAGCGGAGGGGAATGAAAGAAAAAAGAGATAAAAGAAAGTGAGGAAAAGAGATAGAGTGAAGTTGATAAAGAAACGAGAGAAGGGAAAGAGAACAAGCGTACTAGAAAAGAGAAAGTGTGTTATAGAAAGAAGAGAAAGAGCGTCGATATTCGACTAAATTTACATTCATCCTTCTAAAACTGATTATTTGGTGGATGGAAGAAAGCTGGACTTCAAAATGGAATTCTTTTGCAACGAAACTATTTGTCCATTTAATTTGCCTAAAACAAAGTCAAAAGAGCATCAAATTATCTCCCTTTTATCTTTACAAAGAAACAGATTTAGGAAACAGAAACATTACTGGCCAATTTTAAAAATGTTTGCCTATTCTTTCTCTCCGTCTTTTTCTCTTTCGTTCTTTCTCTCTGTCTTTCTATCGCTCTTTCTTTTTTTTTCTTTCTGTTTCTTTCTTTTTCTTTTTCTTTTTTTTTTTACTTCTACTTTTTCTCATTTTTGTTTCCTTTTCTCTGCATTAATTTTTCTTTTCACGATTTTTTCTTTTTTCTCCATTGCCTTCTTTTCCATTTTTTTGTTTTTTGTTTTTTGTTTTTCGCTTTTATCCTTTTCTTTTATCTATTTTGATTTTCTCGTTCTGTTTTATTTTTCCTTTCTTCTTCTTCTTCTTCTTCTTCTTCTTCTTCTTCTTCTTCTCCTCCTCCTCCTCCTTCTTCTTCTTCTTCTTCTCCTCCTCCTCCTCCTCCTCCTTCTTCTTCTTCTTCTTCTTCTTCTCCTCCTCCTCCTCCTCCTTCTTCTTCTTCTTCTTCTTCTTATTCTTCTTTTCCTCCTCCTCCTCCTCCTCCTCCTCATTCTTCTTCTTCTTCTTCTTCTTCTTCTTCTTCTTCTTCTTCTTCTTCTTCTCCATTTCTATTTTATTTCTTTTTTTTTATTTGTTTCTTTTCCCTTCCTTTTCTTTCTTTTTAAAATATTTTTCTTCTTTCTTTTTCTGCGTTCTTTATTTTACTCTTTCTTTATACATCATTTTTTTTCTTTATTTCCTTTTTTCTGATTTCTTCTTATTTTTTGTTTTCATTCATTTCTTTTTTTCCCAATTTTTGCTAATCAAGCTTCTTCTATCTGTAACATAAAAGTAAAATCCTTAGATTCGCTGAGTCTGTAGTTTACTAAATTGCTTTTCAAATTTTCTTCTTTGGTTTTCTTTCCTGGAATTAAATAAATTCTTTCATCTTTCACGGCGATGCTAAATTTCAATTTCGATTAAGAAGACAAAAACTGACGAGAAAATGTTCAACTTTTCAGCCGTTTAATGATGTGATCTTCCGTCTGCCAAAGTCAGTCGAGAAGAAGAATATAAAACAAAAAACAAATAAAACTACTGAGGAACATTTCTTTCCTTTTAGGGTGGGGGTTTATTTGTTTCTTTTCCATCAAAACTTTACCGGTAACTCTTTATCTTCACAAAATATGCCTAGCCCTTAATAATCGAGAAAATATTTCACAAGTCAAACTCATTAAAGAAAAAAGATGACTGAAAGAAACGAATGAGTTTATAAAACAGAAACATTCATTTATTGTGTTCTGTAGTATACATTTAATATATGCTAGGAAATATTCATCTAAAACATAGCATCAAAATGTTACGAATTGTTAGGAATTGTTAAGAAATGTAATGAATTGTTACGAATTTTACGAATGTGAGGAATTGTTCATCTAAAACATTGCATAGAAATGTAACGAATTGTTACAAAAAGTTACGAATTTTACGAATGTTACCAATTGTTCATCTAAAACATTGCATAGAAATGTAACGAATTGTTACAAAAAGTTACGAATTTTACGAATGTTACCAATTGTTCATCTAAAACATTGCATAGAAATGTAACGAATTGTTACAAAAAGTTACGAATTTTAAGAATGTTACGAATTGTTTATCTAAAACATTGCATAGAATTGTAATAAAATTTTAAGAATTATACGAATGTCATCAACTGTAATACTATAGGGATCATCTAATGAACACACACACACTCATGCACACACACATGGAAATACGAGACTCACAGCCAGATCACGTTGAAACACCGGTTGTCGTAAGATCACTGAAGTTAAGCCACGTCGAGCCTGGCCAGTACCTAAATGGGTGACTACTTGGGAATACCATGTGATTTAGGTTTGGCTGTGCGGGTGGTGTAATGCATAATGGCTCGGAATTGGAAATCACAGCGTCAAGTTCCAATTCCAGTCGGTTTCATTATAAAAATCGATATAAACAAAAATTCAATAAAACAGACACACTCACACAAAAAGAAAATGATCAATTTAACGTTAATAACTAGCCCATGAATGATTTTTTTAATTCAATTTATAATTTTTGCTATCTTTATTAAGATAGCGAAAATTTAAAAATACTTTGCAAACCGCTAATATCTGACGAGTGAACGGAATCATTACAAGAAGGTTCATCTGAACAGATAGCAGGTAAGTGCCAAATTTTATTTGTATTAATTATATATATATATATATATATATATATATATATATATATATATATATGGGACTTATTGGAAAGTGCTCAATATCAGTGATAGAACTAACATATTCAGTTGTATGGATATGCGTTGGTTGAGTTTGATGCTTTTGTGATCATTTAAAAAAAATAAAGAGAAAATATTTTAAAATATCCTCAAAATGATCATGTCAAAATTAAAAAGGTCTTTCTTTCCAACCCAATTTAATAATAATTATTATAAATTAACTAATAATATATCCTATGCATTTTTGCAATAATTTGTGCTTTATATAAATACGCATATTATTATATGTTTTGCATTAAAATATAATGGCTGTCCGCTCGAATCGGAGTGTCTCTGTCAAGTAGGCCGGCTATCCAATCCTTGTTGCAAACGCTTGCTCAGGCATATATTTGTTTATTCAACAATCACAGTGCTCATTATATTTTAATTATGCTAAGAGGATCTTAGTTGCAATTTCCCGTATAGAGTGCTTTATCTGATAGATTGTCTAAATAAGGCCAGTGCGCTCACACCCACGGTCACAATGACTAGCACAATATTGAAGGCTTCCGAATATTTCCATTTACACAATTTCACTCACAAGAATTAGATCCACCAGTGGCATGGTTTTCAGGAACTTTTCAAATGTAGCGTTCATTGAAATCGCTTCCTCCAGTATTAACATCCCTGATAAACAAATCGACAAAGGTTAGATTCAAAACCGGTTCTCAGTAAGTGAACATTCGCGGCACACTGCCACGTGACCATGTAATTAAATGACTGATTAGTGCTCCTATTATGTATCTCGAAATTCCTGGTAAAATCCATCGAAAGATGTGCAATGTTATTGGTCTTGACTTGATATCTCGGCTGCAATGATATATATCGAAATTCTTGGCAAAATCCGTCGAAGGATGTGTAATTTTATTGGTCTTGACTTGGCTTCTCCGCTCCTATTATATATATCGAAATTCTTGGCAAAATCCATCGAGGAATGTGCAATGTTACTGGTCTTGAGTTGGCATCTTGGCTCCAGTCACTTTCCCGTAGCTTGTCTATAAATATTTTCATTGTTCAAAGCAGCTTTCTTCTTTGGTACCTAGACCTCGTGAATTTAAGAACAGTACTAGATTAGCAGCTAGGTCTCACAATTTTACCGTTGAAATAGCTAGATGTAACCGTATGTTCTATTCTGGTAGTTTCTTCTCTCGCACTTCTTGCTTGTGGATCTTTCTTCTTTTCTTGTTAATTAAGATCTTCAAAAAATTAAATGCGACATCAATCGCTTTCTTAATCCTTTTATTTTTTTTATATTTTCTTCTCATTAACGTTTTCCCATTCTCACTCTCAGTAATCCCGTAAAGGTGTCGGCGATCATGGCTCTCCACAGTTTCCTATATTTTGTAATCTAAGCAACATCTGTTCCCTTAATGTCCCTCTCAACCCGTGATATGACATGCATTTGATTAAACTTGTTAGATAGGTTACTTGCGCGTACCCTAGGCCTTTTTTGCTTTAAGTATTTCCTGTGATTGTCAGATCCTCAAAATTCTCTTTCCTCCTTATGTTTCACATAAATTTCAAGACTATTTCTTCCTCTAAATGTTAGTTCTCTTTTCGTTCGCATTTGCCTTAAATCTTGCTCAGATGTGACGTCCAGGTTATTCTCAGCATCTTTCTGTAGAACCACATTTCTATCGCTTCAAGTATCCTTTTTCTCTATAAGGAAATTATCCAGTATTCATTTCCAATTGCCATTACTATCTCATTCTATATCCAGATTATAGTCGCTGTTTTGAAAACTGTATCAGTTGTATTTTTTTTTTTTTTTTTTGTAACAAGCAAGTTTTTGTTAGCATCTTCAGAAGTATATTTCTTTTGAAATCTCAGACGACGGACTGCTCATTAAATTCAAATATATTTACTCAAGATGATATTTCTTCACATTATTGATTATCTAATCCCATTCAATCAAATCTTTATAAATGATCTGGGCTTGAAAACAGATAACGAACAACTACGAACCATTGAAAAATCTGTTTTAGTCTTTTAAGATTCTTGAAAAAATTAGCCATTATCAAGTTAAAAGATTAATTCGATTAAAATAAATTTCATATCATACACAAAAACTGATTCCATTCATCCATCCCGTCGCTGAATATCGATGGATTGGATAAAATACAGTGTTTTTGTCTATTTTGTGTTTTCTTGATGGATTTATTTTCTATTGATTTTTTTTTTATTTTCTGCCTATCGATAAATCGATACTGTCACTGTCTGATGCTTAAGTTAATATTGATGTAAATATTTATTTGGTTTTCTTGCTTTTTATTCACGAATGAGACGTTGCTTAATTTTACAAATAACTAAAACCAGTTCTCTGGTTGGCTTCAAGCGTCAACTGAAAAACGTTCCAAATTTTACTGGGATTCTTTAAGCAATGATGTGAAAATCCTTCTGATCTGTAAATACAATTTTTTTTTCCGAATTCAGTTTGGTTGTTAAATCAGGGTTCATCTATTTTGTTCGGTCACATAAAAAATCTTACCGTCCTTATTGGTCGATATAATTTTTTTGTTTCTTTTTCTCAAGTTTCTTTTAAATATTTTTTTTTTTTTGAGTACAGCAAAGTCTATCAAATCTTTTATTAGAAGTAAAGTGATTGATACTTGTGAATTAGAAGATGCATGAATTACATTACAAGTATATCAGTTAAAACTAAAATTTCTTTTAAAGAAAAGAAAAATTTCCGGACAGCTAATATTCATATTTGTACGCCCAAAATATTCGATCGCATTTGATTTGTCACTTTTATCTTCCCAATTGGCGTTGGTAAAACAATTAAAGCCATAAATGAAAAGAATTAATAATATTTACACAAATTCCATGCGGATTATTGTTTACATCTTTGCACTTTATTATCATTACGACATTTCTGGCGTTGTACCCTCTGGTATTCATCAGTAATTTCAGAGAATTTCGAAATGTAAGTTTTTGAAATTCTATGAGGGTAACTCAGATCAATAATCATCCGATAAGGGCCGGGGGACATAACAGCCGATATATTATGTTGATAACAACAAAGACGAAGAAAATATTTAGGAAGGAAATTATGTAATTAATGATAATTCTGCATCTCAAAAATTGACAGAAAAGAAAACTTAATACTTTTATCTGTCTATATTTCTGAGATGAGGTATTATGTACATTATTTACATTATTCTGACTGTTGTCCTCATCTTTGTCGCCATATTTATTACAACGTTTCGGCCTTTCAGTATCTGTCTATATTTCTGAGATAAGGTATTATGTACACTATTTACATTATTCGAACTATTGTCCTCATCTTTGTCGCCATATTTATTACAACGTTTCGGCCTTTCAGTATCTGTCTATATTTCTGAGATGAGGTATTATGTACACTATTTACATTATTCGAAATATTGTCCTCATCTTTGTCGCCATATTTATTACAACGTTTCGGCCTTTCAGGATCTGTCTATATTTCTGAGATGACGTATTACGTACACTATTTACATTATTCGAACTACTGTCCTCATCTTTGTCGCCATATTTATTACAACGTTTCGGCTTTTCAGTATCTGTCTATATTTCTGAAATGACGTATTATGTACATTATTTCCATTTTTCGGACTATTGTACTCATCTTTGGCACCATATTTATTACAACCTTTCGGCCGTTGTACGCTCCGGCCTTCTTCAAATGGTTGGAATGTCGAACTGAACCCTTTATTTGGCTCAATGGAGTAGACTGTTCTAGTTCCATGTTTAATGGATGTCAATTACCAGTCATTTCCTGTTAATTCCCCTCTCCAAGTTCTCAACTGCCTTAACACTGTTTCGTGTGTCCTCAAGGACAAATGGCGCAGTGGATAAAGGCGTTGGTTAGATCCAGTGACTGGACCCAAAAGTGTCAGTTCAATACCCGGTTAAGGCAGTGGAGAACTTCCAGAGGGGAATTAACGGGAGATAACTGATAACTGGCATCCATTAAACGTGGAACTAGAACAGCCTACCCCATTGAGCGAAATAAAGGGTTCAGTTCGACTTTCCAACCACCTGAATATATATATATATATATATATATATATATATATATATAAAGTATGCTTTTTGAATTTGTAGGTTTGATGAATTGGATCGTGATTACGATTTCAATGTAATAAATTATAACCATGGAATATTAGTGTTTGAGCCTTTTTATGATACATATATATTTATTATATATAAATATATATATATATATATATATATATATATATATATAATTAAAAACGACTTCTAGAACTAGCCGAAAGTGCTCAGAACAATTATAACCATGGGCAATTTCTATATTCTTTAACTCTTGAAAAACGGAAAAAAAATGTTTGAATGCTGGAAAAAATAAATGATTGATTAAATCTTCCTTGTCGGTCGTTTTTACTGAAAGATGATTGAAAGAAAGGTTGCTGCCCAAATACGCATTCATTTAGGGGACATTAAGACGGCTTGGAGAATTCGACACTCACAGGGCATACCAAAGCCAAGAAAGAGAGAGGGGGAGCAGAAAATACCCTACATTACGAAAGTGTGGGATTGGTTTCCAAATCAGAGATATGAAGTCATAGAAAAAAAACCAACGAAAACTTTAA